AGGTGTCCTTCAATAGATAAATGGATAAAGAAAATGTGGTATATATATCCAATGGAATATTACTCAGCTTTAAAGAAGAATGAAATTATGTCATTTGCCAGTAAATGAATGGAGTTGGAAAGTATCATGCTAAGCAAAATAAGCCAATCCCCCAAAAGCAAAGGCTGAATGTTTTCTCTAATATGCAGAGTAACAAGGTGGGGGGCACTAGAAAAGAATAGAGTTAGAGGGAAGTGAAGCAGGGGAGGAGATGTGGGGATAGGAAGGATAGTAGAACAAAACAGATATCATTATTTTATGTATATATGTGATTGCATGACCAATGTGATTCTACAACATGTACACTCAGAAAAATGAGAAATTATATCCCATCTATGTATGATATATCAAAGTGCATAAATACATTCTACTGTCATGTATAACTAATTAAAACAAATAAAAAATAAGAAAAATACATAAACCAACACTGTATATAATTTGCAGTTCCATATATACATGCTAGAGATTTAAACACATAGCCTGGAAGGACACACATTGAAGTTTTGATAAGTTTTTGCTTCTGGAGAAAGAGGGAGAGAAATGGAAGAATAGGACTAAATGGATAGAGAAAAATCTTGAAGTTATTTGTAACATTTAATTAAAAAATTTTGTTAATTCTAGGTTGTTGGTTACAAGGGTACTGGTTATGTTATTTTTAATATTCTTTTCCATTTCACTTTTTTCAAAATAAAACAATTTTGTTAAAATAAGAAAAATATTAAAAATGAACAATGGATAGAACTTGAAATTTAAAGGAATTCTAAAATGTTTCAAAATAAAAATGAAGTTCAGTCTTTCTATTACTTAGGAAAATACAAATAACAAAACACAAATATGAGATAAAATTTGTATTCATCATATGAGCAAGCATTTTAAAATGTCCATAGCTGATAAAGATGTGGGAAAATGGGATTCTTCACACATTGCCCGTGGGAGTCTGAGAAAGTGATAGCTGGTCACTGTCTTCTTGGAAAGCATCAAGGCAAATGATATAAAATGCAATCATTGGGTGAGTAGAAAAGCATATTATAAGAGAGTCAAATGTAAAGAGAATTTCAATAAGTTTTTTAGACTTCAGGATGAAGTGTAGGAATGAGGTCATGGGACAATCTGAGCAGAGACACCTGTAACCAGTTTTCTTAGTAGAAAGCTAGATTTTATTTCATTAAAAGTAAAAATTAGGGAGCTGCGGCTGTGGCTCAGTGGTAGCGCACTTGCCTGGCATGGGTGAAGCACTGGATTTGATTCTCAGCACCATGTATAAAAAAATAAAATAAAGGTCTATCAAAAAATTTTAAAAATTAAAAAAAAGAATATTTTAAAAAAGTAAAAATTATGGGGCTGGGGTTGTGGCTCAGGGGTAAGGTGCTCACCTAGGGTGTGTAAGACACTGGGTTTGATTCTCAGCACCACATATAAATAAATTAAATAAAGGTCCATTAGCAACTAAAAAATATTTTTTAAAAAAGTAAAAATTAGAAAGTAATAAAAACAGTTATGTTTAAAATACTTTAATAATTGTCACGCGTGGTGATTTGTAATCACAAGGACTTGAGAACTGAGGCAGGGGCATCAAAATTTGAGGCCAGTCTTGGCAATGCAGAGTGACCCTGTGTCCAATCCCCAGTACTGAAAGGAAAAAAACAAACTTAGTATGTAGAATTGATGAGGTCATCAAATTATAGGATGCCAATTGAAAATAATAGAATTTGAAATCCTTTACAGAAATTGTATACTGCACATGCAAACAGAAAGCAGCAAAACAAACAAAAACCCATAAAAATTAATGTCTGTGGTTGGGTGTGGTGGTGCACTCCTATAATCTCAGCTGCTCCAGAGACTAAGGCAGGAGGATCACAGGTTCAAAGCCAGCCTCAGAAATTTAGTGAGGCCCTAAGCAAACCTGTCTTAAAATAAAAAATAAAAAGGGCTGGGGATGTGGGTCAGTGTTAAGATCCCCTGGGTTCAATCCCCAATACCTAAATAAATAAATGTATGGGGCAACAGAAGTCGATTTATAAGTAATAGAGTATTAGATATTGTGGGGAGCCATTCTGAATGACTCACGCCTTCCATCCTGAAGCAAGAGGCTCTACATTTCATGGTGACTTGGGCATTGTCCCAGTCCAGGAAATAGAAGGCGGGTCTTCAGGAGCTACACTCACTTATTCCTTTGTAATACTATCCCTTTGCCCTGGTTTGGGATAGAATGTTCCATAGAAATGTCCTTTGTTTATGTCCCCTTTTCTTGCTCTTGGTGTGACCTTCCTAGATGTCAATTAACCTGCTGACAGCAGACATCAGGAAGCTAGACTCAACCCCCTGAAACCTGACCCCTTCCCTTATTTGAATGGCTTCTCAAAAAAGGGGTTCAACATGTGCTCTCTTGCTCTCTCTTTCTGCAGACCCTTAAGTTCAGAGGAGCCGTCCAGGACCCAAAGAAAAAACTATCTCTTGTGTGATTTTGTGCAGCCCAGTTCACCCCGAGTGACCCTGAGTGTTTTAGTAGTGAGGAACACAAGATATTACTTTCAATTTTTTGAATTATTAAACAAAAGAATTGATCTTGGGATTAGAAAAACAAGATACAAGATATCTTTTCTGCCTTGGAGAGAACCATTAAAAGATATCTACAGTTTTAAAGGCTGCAATGCAACAGAAAAGTGCCATAGTGGTCTCACCCCTCTCTTTTGCCAGGAGAATATGCAGGCTTCCTAAAACCTCAGCTCCAATTTAGTATGGAGCAAGATCAGGGGAACTTAGCCTTCTCTTTATTCAGGTACCTAAGATTGTCGAATTCTTGAATTAGCTTTGGTGATTAATTTTATATGTCAATTTGGTTGTGCCTCCATACCCAGATATTTGTTGACACCAGTTTTGTTTGTGCAAAGGTATTTTTTAGATGCAATTGACATTTAAATCAGTTACTATTATGTAGATGACACTCTAATGTTGGTAGATGACACTCTGTAACGTTGGTAGGCCTTATCCACACAGTTGAAGGCCTTAAGGAAAAAAGATGGAGGTTCCTAGAGTTGGGGAATATAGCTCAGTTGGTAGAGTGCTTGCCTTGCATGAACAAAGTCCTGGGTTCAATCCCTAGCAACCCCGCCCCCCCCCCAAAAATGCAAGCAGGTTCCCCAAGGAAGTGGGGGGTTTGATCGCAGGATCAAATCCTGCCTTTGAACTTGAGTTGCAACATCAGTTCCTCCTTGGCTCTCCAGCAGACAGGCCTGCCCTGCAGAATTAAAATTTGCTATCCCTTGCCATCAGGTGAGCCAATTCCTTAAATCTTTCTATGTAATATTTTTGTATTGCAGAACTGTGCCCAATTCCAGCCTTGGAATCACCTCTATAAAAGCCCCCTGTTCCTGCTGATGGGTAGAATCACAGCCTTTGGGGCAGGAGTCCCTCGTGTTTCTCATTTCTAGCAAAACAAAAACTTTATCCTTTTTCTCAAAACCTTTTCCAGTTATTGGATTAACATCGGGGACAAGGACAGAGCTTTTGGCAACAACTTGACTTGAGACTTTTCTGTAGATAATGAATATACCTTTGATCCAAGAATCCTGATGTAGGAGTCAGGTAAATGGGTCAATGTCTAGAGTTCTCCCCAGAAAATAAAACTATTTTAGTTATGTTTACTCAAAATTTTCAGCGATTTTAATTCACATAAAATGTCATTTTTTAACCCAGTGATTTCTAAAATATGTTTTAAAAATACTGAATAATTTATGGGGGCTGTAAAAATTGGACAGTCTGTTCAAATGAGGATGCTCCCCCATTAGTCTGCCTCCCCTTGGCTTCCCATGGCCCTTATCCCATTCATTAATTCCATTGAGACCTAAAAGCACCTTAAAGCTGATATCTGAGTTAGACTTGTGGTCCTAGCACAATGTCAACTCACATCTGACATTGAGTTTCTGCTAAGTCTACTGATTGCTCCCGTCTCCTGTAGACAATATGTGCACTGGCCCCGAGTTGGCACAGGAGAGCTGCTGGGCCCCAGCTGCCCTGCCCAAGCTGTCTCAAACTCAGGGGATGCCAGTCAGGGGATGACATCTGGCACCACCATTGCACAAAACTGTCCAACATTGGCCAGTGGTTCCCATGAGCTCATATCACAGGTGGCCAGGGATACAGTGGGAGAGAGCCCTCAGGAATAGCTGTGCAATCCTCCCAGAGCCAAGTCTAGATGAATTTTCCATTTAAGACTGTGAAAATAAATCTTCTTACCTATGACCATTGTTTTTCTTCATGATATCCTCTGCACTTTCTGCAGGACCTGGCACAAAATAATTAATTTTTCCATTGCCATCATAAACTGAGCCATTTTAATATGTACTGATGTAGCAAAAATCTTTTTTTGTGAAATGAAAAAAAAAGTAATTAGCCTGTGAAATTTTGCTTAAAAAGGGGTATATAAAATATGACATAATAGGGGATAGGAAAGGTAGCAGAATACAACAGTTACTAATAGGGCATTATGTAAAATTGTGGATGTGTAACCGA